GTGGATATGAGCATGTGCCAAGCTACCTTGTCCACATGTCCCCAACGACCACTCATACACTTTCCTTAACGCCCCCGGTCCGTTTCTAGTCGCGAAAAGGCCCTAACTATTAGTTAATACTATACCGGACCGACCTTTTTTCTTCTCTCTCTCCATCGTCTACCCCGAGATTTTTCCCTTTCCCCCATTGCGGGTTTTTTGTGCTTGTATGGGGCGTTTAGACTATATGCTATAAAATTGCTGCTTGTCTCATGATTTGAGCTTCTTTCTCCTCCTTGTGATTTGATCCACTGCTAGGGACTTTTAGTCTGGGTGGGTGGTTTTGTTTAAACTTGGGACGCTTAAATGGTGTCTGCATGTGTAGAGCCGTGGGGAGTTGTTTTACTAGCTGCGGGAAGAGAAAGTCTTGGGTTGCTAGTAAGTCTGGATACTATCTTGCGTCCGCGGAATCGTGTTGTTGTTGTGATCGTGATCTCAATGGGAAGCTAGGCTGCGAAGTCGCTCTCTCGGTGTTGTGATGATTGTTTAAAGTCGTAACTATTCGAGTCCAAAGTTGTGGGTCGGCTTTTAACAGTGGGAGCATACATGCACGGGATGACTGATGTTCAAGAAATACTTTTAGATTGGGTCCGCTCCGAGCTACTAGAGTTAGCTAGCCTGCTAAGACGAAATACCGAAGCATCCAGTATTCGTGTGAGGATGTTATGCTATGTGGCATGTTTGAAAATGGATAAACCACTCATGCACTACCAAGAGACCGTTGTGCTCTTCTAAAAAGCATACTGTGTGTGACCCAAAACGCCCACACCACGCTACCCGCTCGATTTCCCAAAGCTACTATAGCCCAAGATGCACTTGATACCTTACTTGTACTCCTTGCACCTTTCCAAACTCTCGCACACAGGACCCTTCAAGATCCTCAACGCCTCAGCGATCAACTCGTGCAGCTCCTTACGGAAATGCTGGCCTTCCGGCGTATCATGCTCTTTGCTATGCTTCTGTCGCTGAAAAGCATCCCGAATAGTTTCGAGAATACCAACCACTTCTTTGCAGAGCTCATTGCAAGTATCACTGATGAGTTTTCTCACGTCCTCTCGAGTCAATCCTGCAATGTCAGGAAAAACACCTTCGAGGCCAATGATTTTCTCTTTGAGATATGCATGGCGGACATCCATGAGCTTCTGGCGTTTTCCGGCTTTTTTCAAAATGGCCTGTTGATAGACAGGCTTCATTTTCCGGTGCATATATTCTTTTTCGGTAGGTTTGATCGCTTTGCCGAATACTTCGATGAGTCCGTCACGAAGCTTCTTCGTGGCGGCTTCGATCGTGAGTGTGATGTTTTTTTCATGATCAAGGACATTGTTGCCGAAGCAAGTCTGGTACGCATCTCCGACTAGAGCCTGTGGATCATCTGGGATAGATACATTTATTAGCATGGTTAGCGGAAACAGCGTGACGAAATACCTTTCAATAGCTTGTTTAGTTCACGAAAGCTCGTCTTGATGGTTTGTGCAGCGTGAGCTTTGAACGATGAAGGTGCATCTTCGATTGCTCTTCGGAAGTGCCTATCGATATCGGATGCGACAAATGACAGTAGTGCAGCATTCACGTCGTGCTTGATGCCCAGCTTCTTCTGATGCCATTTCCCTGGCATTCGCTAGCGGAAGCTTTGCACATATGATAACAGGGTAATGTACCTTGGTTTCTGACTAGAGCTCTATGCGAAGCGGCAGCCTATAACAGTGAGCAACAAGTCATTCTCAGGAACACCCAATTCTTACCATCTTCTCTAGCTCCTCGAGCTTCGTCTCAGCCTTGCTATCAAACTTGTCCTGCAGCTGATGTTTTGAAAGTTCGTTCAAAAGGTCTTCCAAGAACGTGCTGTGGCATCTTTTTTTCATTTTCTCGATTTCCAACTCAATATCCTATTTTTGTTTAGTAAATATTCATATTGAGGCTGCTCCTCGACTTTGACTCCGTATAGGGACACAAGTCTAGTTCACACCCTCCCATCGAGTTTGTCCTTCAGACCTGGTAATCGAATAACTTACCTTAATGGCCTGGTCCAGAATTTTGGTTATGTACTCTACTCGGGCTTCTGTACTCTTGCTACAGCTCATCTGGAAGATGCTTAGCAGCATGGGGGTTTTGAACTGGATGAAGTTTTCAAGAACGGCGACCTTTCCTTGGGAAGGCTGTCCAGCAATATGATTGAAGAGCGCCAGGATTTTTGTGTCTTCCAACTTCATAGACGGAACCTTGTCAGGGTACGCAGTGTTATATCCCCGGCGGTACCGCATGAACATGCGATTAGAAATGCAAAAGGATGCAGCGCCCGCATCGTCGCCAGTGTTGTGACTGTACATCCGGTTCAGACCCGTAGCAACAAACCTGTTACGGCAAGCAATTCGAATGTCCTTACGTTCTTTTTCCAAGGAAATAATACGGGCCTTCAACTCTTTTTTGCGTGTAACCAGGTCCTTGTTGGTTGCGCGTAAAGCCTCCTTCGAGTGATTGTCTTCGGTGACAGAGCTTTGATTGACGAAGCTCCTGATGCGCTTGATCTTGTTTTTATTGTTTTCGATGTCATTTTCGATGATCTGAACCTTACCGGTGAGTTCACTCAACTTCTCCTCGACGGGGGCAAGCTGTCCTTCTGCTATGGCATCCAGTTGCAGTGTACTACCACCATCATCATTCATTTCCTGTTATATCAATTAATAAATGGGCAGAACATGTATCCTGGAGAGCTTACATCAGATCTGGTAGCCACAAGAATGACACTACCATGGTGTCGCCTACGGTGCGCATCCAGATAGTGCTGTCGAAAAGATTGGTCGCTCGTGGCCCGCTTTATGTCGACAACTACGATCGTCTTTTCGCACTGCTGCAAATAATCCTCTGCTGCCGCAACACGATAAACGTTGATGTCTTTCGCGCCCGGGACATCGGCCAAGCAGATTCCATCTTGTAGTAGGGGGCTGTCGACATAGTACCTGATAATCTCTACAAACGGCCATGGGCTGAAAGAAAGAGGTTTCCCATTGAAACGTGCATTTGGTGCTTTCATTCGGAAAGGGCGAAGCTGTTCGCGCATGTCGCTGTGAGTGCTGGACGTGAGGGGGACAAAGAGCTCGCCGTCCCGAACAAATTGCTCGTGTATCTCACCAGTCCATCTCTGTAGCTTTAAGAGTGCTGGACTGTCCTTCCAAGACTTGCTTGCAGACATAAAGTCCTCGAGCGATTCAGGTGCGACATAGTAAGCAAAGAGATGGTTCAAGCAATCCAGAGCAGCGTCTTTGCGTGCTCGATCGTCGTCATCGACGTCTTCTTCATCGCTCATCATCCGCTGTTGGGTATTAAACCATTGGTTAAACCAAATATTCACGAGGTTTTCTATGCAGTATTCGAGGCAGTAAAATTTTACCTCTGCTTGAACTGCCCCCATATTGTTGGAGAGTTTCTTCTGGCGGAACTCCGTTACCACGTTGGTGCATGGGCTGCCACTATCCCCCTGTTTCATTGTCAGTTAAACAAAGTCATGTAGCCTTGGATATTTTCTACTGAGAGACAGTGATCTGATACGCTAGGTTCGAGACAGATGTAAACAATCCGAGCAGTAAGCTAGGGCTACATTTACTTCTGGCGTCAGGTCGTCACCCAGCAAAGCATTCGTAGTTGCAGACTTCCCAGATCCTGTATCTCCTGTGACTGCAAAACGAATCTCTTCCTGGTAGGAAATAATGCAATTTTTGACAGCTTGTGAGTGGAGATAAGCAGCCTCCTCGCCACCAATACCTTGATCCGCAGCCGCTCCTAGGAAGTCTTTGAATACTCGCAAGATACTCCGAACATCCTTTTCTGACTGTTGAAATCCTGGATGGTAGATGGGTAGCTTTGGACGGCGCTGTTGAGTTAGGTCAAGCGGAGGCACTGCTGTATCTCTTTCATCGTTGCTATCGCCATCGTCATCATCACTATCAGTCCAGATTTCAGATGCTGGGAAGTATTAGCCTTTGATCTGGTTTAGGTACACACTGCTATAGTTGTATACCTGAACGCTTAGCGGGTAGCACAGATCCTATGGTGCTAGGATTCCAGCTAGTAATAGCAGCTATAGTGTTCGCCTCAATAGCTTTGAGTCTATCAAGACAGTCTGTCTTGAGGTTTGGGATCATATTTGCTTCTGGAGCAACTCGTACTACGCGTTCAGGTTCGAATAGAGGACTCTGCGGATCGTCCGGCACACATTGTTGCAAATTGTTGTCGTCCTCTTCCATCGTGTCCACTAAAGGTTGAGATAGCAGAAAGATAGAAAAGAGTTGGAAGGGAAAAGGATTGGTAGGGTTCAGTAGTTATAGATCGCTTTTAGGTGAGAGAGCAAGCCTTAGACAAGACGCCACTAGAACAGCGAGGTGAGAGACCGGTGAGCCATAGTGTGAAGTTAATGGGTATAGGTAGTGTACTACATGACCTCCATCGGCTCTTACCTGTCCTGTCAAGCTAGGGTAGATCAAGGCGTAATCAGCCCAAGGTGGTTGGATATGGCCGGACTAGCAAAGATTATAGCCAGTTCCATGCCCTTAATTTTCAACATCATTCCGCTGTCGGTAGGAAATCCTTTTCCAATGATAAATATGAAATTTGAGTGAGGACTGTTAGAAAAGGATTGTTGACATGCGCATCTTCCTGAACTGAGAGAAGCACTGCTTATATCAGCGGTAAAAGCCATACGACTGTGATGTTGAGGCCCTACGAGGCCCTACCAGCAGTCACCTTTTTTTTTGGAACAACTGAAAAACTATTGGCATTTCATACAATCGGATACGAAGCGTGATCAAGGCCAAGATGCGGGGTCCCCACATGGCGTACTCGCAGCTGGTGAGAAGGATGATGTGCGCACATGGGCCCTGAAAATATATAAGTTTCGGGCTCCCCCTTGTCAAGGCAGATTTTCCTACTGCTCTACTTGGCCGACGGGCGTCTTTGGTCCTTAATTCATGGCGGAGGATCGTGGGGCATTAAACCGAGGGATTAAAAGGGCAAGAACGCGGCATGGGTCAGTGCCGCACAGAACCAGCAGAAACAACTGCCAAGTACTGACCTGATCTCCAGATGCTTGAACTGCAAGATCAGAAGGCGCAAGTGTGATGAAGTGAAGCCGACATGCTCGCGTTGTGCTGCAAAAAACGACAAATGCGAATGGACTTCTCGCCTCACCTTCCGAGCCGAGAATGCGTTAGCAATTCATCCATCACTATTGCATCAGCCCCCGGGATTTCCGCCTAAGCGTTTCAGGATTAAAGATGTTACTGCAGAAGTCATGCGGGACTACCAGTGTGACAAGCCAGGAGATGGGCCCGGCGCTTGTGATCAGTCTGATAACCAGCTGGTTAGTAGTTACAGCGATCTCTCACCTACCACGATCGATGATCGGAGCATTTTATTTCAAAATGACTCGTGCTGGCCGAAAAACACATCGCATACGAACACTGAGGATATCCCGAGTCAGGCTCGACCCGAAGGATACGTACCCATACCTGTTTCTGCAGATACAGAGGTGGCACGGAACAGTCCGGTAATTGCCGCACACCCAGACAACACAATCTTTCTTCCGGGATCTGCATACCTCGACGCTCATGCCGCATTGAGAAGTCATCTGAAAGAAAAGGCACGATCCAATGATCATACCCCAGAAGCATCGCGCGACTCTTCAAAGGACACTCGCATATGTTCTGTAGACACCGATTTCGATACAGTGACAAAAAAAGGCACCATGCAACTCCCATTTGACCCTGTCATTGGCGGGGAACCGAGCCCTACTCAATTATCAGTGTTTCAGCTATCAGCTGAGAAAGAACTTGAGTTGTGGAAGAATTGGCTTGATGAAATAGCGCCTTGGATTGACAAGTTTGATGGTGAACGCCATTTTCAGCACCAACTCCCGATACTGGCACGTTCCCACGAGCATCTGAAGTACTCAATACTAGCGTTATCAGCACGACAGCTTGAGGTCAAGAATCGCAGCATACACACTGAGCAAAGCTTAGCTTTGTACCAAACAGCCATCCAACTCGTCCTACCGCATCTACATACACGCAGCATGGGAGTTATAGCAACATGCGCGGTATTGTGCGTGCTAGAGATGCAAAGCAGTTCATCCAGGGTGTGGCACCAGCATTTGGATGGCTGTGCACATTTGATTGAAGCAGCTGGAATCAATGGCTTCTCTGGTGGCCTTGAACAAGCCTTGTTCTGGTGCTTCGCTCGTATGGATGTATGTGGTGGACTTATTTCCTCATCCAAAACGCTCATACCTGTTGAGCGCTGGGTCTTGGGTATGGGTCTTGACGCTGATGTGCATCTCTTTCGAGCGAAGAAAGGATACAACACTCACGCATGTGAAGTGGTCTACCTGTGTGCACAAATACTCGACTTGCTCTCTTTCCATCCAAACTTGGCCCGGCGGGCTGGTGTCTCACTCGATACATCAGAGATTCGAGATGAAGCCTATATGGCGCGGTGGATGAGGCTTTGGAACCATGTTTCTGCATGGCATGCTACGCGTCCAGCAGAGATGCTCCCTATAACATCTCTCACAAACCCCACATGGCCATTTCCCAAGATCCTGTATAGCAACCCTGCCGCCATCTCGGGGAACCAACTTTACCATACAGCATGCCTTCTTATGCTTAAGCACAAGCCTGCGGGGGTCACTATTACGCCTAAGCCGAACTCTATCTTCTGGCATGCACGTCAGATCTGCGGGATATCGATGAGCAATGACCACCACGGTGCGTGGACCAATGCGATACAACCTTTGTGGATCGCGGGCCAATGGATGAGTCACGAGAGCGAGCACAAGGCTATCTTGCAGCTATTAGAAAAGATTGAAGTACAGTCGGGGTGGGGTACAAAGTGGCGGGCAGAAGACTTGAAAGAGTTCTGGGGTTAGCAGAGCACCGATGTCTTTCCTTTTGCATGTGACTTGTTCTCTTATGCAGTGGATATGACACTAATTGATAATAATCCATATGGGCCCGCGTGTGTACATAATCGTGTGTTGGAACGTATAACTAGCAGCCAAGATGTGGTGGTGAAATAGTGTTGATGGCAGAGACAGACGCGTCGCTATGAGCGATAGCAATGACGGCACCAGTGCACGGACGATCTCGGAGGTAACAGCGGCGATGCTGACTATCGCTTGCTGCTCCATCGCGACCGTCGCCGCTGGAGACACGTAGAAAGCGGTCGAAGTCGATTCCAATCCGAGTCCTCTCGTCCTGCCACTTGCATCCCTTGTTCGCCTGCATCCTCGCTGTCACGCATGGGTTCCACTACCCGATCAACACCACGCATTGTTGCCTACGCTTTCCTTGTCGGCTTTACCGTTTAGCACTGTACACTCACCTATAGATCCACGACTAATCCTACATTCCTCCCGCAGCCTGTTTGCCACTTTCTTCCATTGCACACTGCCTGGAAGCAGATTCAACAGCACACGCTCTTCGTTTACCGATTCCATTTACCCTCCTCGACCCATTTGGGCGCCCCGCCACCATGTTCACGAGCTTCACGGGAAACCCGCGTCGGGCGCGACAGGTCAATCTCAGTGGAAAGAAGACCAATCCCTTCGGCCCCCCAGGCTCCGGCGCCGGATCACAAGCCGCCCTCGACCGAGCACAGCAAGACCGAGCACAACGGCAGCGGGAACGAGATACATTGAATGCCGCCAAGCGAATACAGAGGGTGTGGCGGGGTCATTCAGCCAGGCAGAAAGTGGCTGACCAAGTACGAAGTGAATGGGACAGAGTAGAGGCTCCCAATGGCCTCTCACAACAGGGATCGTATGCCTCGGAAGACGAGGCTCTTGCTCAATTACAGCGGCTACTTCGTTTTGTCTCCACCCGCAGCGAGGATGACCTGAAACGGATACAACATTATGGAGCAAGACAGATGGAAACAGTTCAAGCCTTGGGCCTGGAATCAAGCGGACCATGGCTGTCGGCATATTCAAGACTACAGCGGGTATCTTTGGTTGCCATAGAACGCCAACTCAGGCCTTCATCAACACAATGGAGTCAGATCGGGACATCCCTTACCACCTTGCAGTTTCTAGCCGAACAAATACCTGCCGAAACATCCCGAAACGCCCAGAACTATTACCGCACCCTCGCACAAGTCGTATCTAGGCTCTCCCCTGAACTTGAGTCGTCCGACAATGGGTCAGACGTAGTCAACGTTGTGCTGAGAACCCTGGTCGCACCATTGAAGGTCACTGGATATACGTTGGATGCCTACGAAGCGCTTGGGGTGCACTTCCTGACACTTCCATTACTTAGTTCAGACTCGACATCACCACCCGTACAGAAGCTTCGGGATTCGCTCGCCGACTCGATAAACTACAAGCTACTTGCGAATGCGCTGGCTACTCTAGCTAAACGGTCCGGACTACAAAACAGGCCAGAATTACAGAGTACACTGAGTCGGCTTCGCTTGCTGGGAACCTTCATCTATTTCCACCGCTATGCTCACAATTTTGATACCCCAGAGGCATACGCTGTACACAAAGACTTTGTATCTGTTGTATCTGTTCTTCTGAATTCGTTACCTGTCAATATAGTTGATGAAGACCACCCCATCACGGAGATTACCGAAGACGATGCCGTCAATTCGGATTCAGGTGCAGTGACTGAGTTTCTCAAACAGCAGGTTGAATCTCTGGTACATCAGGAAGGAATTGGGAGTCTCTTGGCTGGCTCATCACAATCCCTTGATACTTCCGAAGATGAAAAGGTTGATGAAGCGCGGCAGCTTGCCAACTACGCACTTGCACTGCTACGCTTCTTTCCGCGAAGAGGTGACGAGATACGCATGTGGCTTTACATTGGCCCATCGGAGTCGTCTGGGAAGAGCACGCGCAAGTTGCCCGCTATCCGATACTTCTGGGAGGCATCGAGAAGGTCATCAGTCTTTTCCACAATCTTCAAAGACTCACGGGCAGCCATTGGTCTACTGAAGCCAAAGTCATCCGACACTAACAGCTCAGATCGCCCGGGTACATCCGGTCTGACACAACATGGGTTCTGGCAGCCAGCGCAACAGCAAGTGAATCGTGATGCGGCTGTTACGGATGAGTGGCGGGTCATTCTAGTATTTCTAGAACTTTACACATTTGTGCTCAAAGTTACAGATGACGAAGAGTTTTTCAGTACCGGACAGCAAGACGCCTATTCCGGGCAAGTCCGTGATAATGGACTACCTCTGACCGAGGTAAAGGACCTCACGACATTCCTAAAGAATCTAGGTTTCACACTTTACTTTAATGCAGTAGAAATCACTACATCAGAAGATAGTGCCGAAAGCAGCAGCACGGGCTTCAACTACTTCAACCCAAAAGCAATCGAAAATCAAAGCCAGAAAGAACAAGTCGAGCCATCTATAGGTGGAGTGGCTGGATTGAAGATCGACTATGTTAAAGGGCTGGTCACAGGTCTCCTTCGTATGGTCTATGAGCGTGACTCGCGACGCAAATTCTTACCGCCAGACCACTGGTTGATGACTTCACGATTCGATATGACTGGCTTCATTCCAGCTGTAGTCGAAGAGGAGGAGTCACGGCACAAGATCCAAGAAGAGGACGGAGACGATCTGGATGACCAAGAAGAAGAATTCGACGATACACCACAGCTTATTGGGACGAGTCGGACTCAGCAACAACGACGACTGGAGAAATTGCAGCGACAGCAACGCAAGGCTTCAAGAAGAAGGTACCTCCAGGCCGTGGCTCCTCGGTTGGAAATTCTGCAGAACATGCCATTCTTCATACCATTCACTACCAGGGTACAAATCTTCCGAGAATTCGTACACCTGGACATGACCAAGCGAAGAGGCGGTTCTGATCCCGAGCTCTGGCGATTCAGACTGATGCAGCAACCAAATGCCCGTGGTCAGTTCGAAAGGCACTCTGCTAGGATCAGGAGAGAAAATGAGTTTGACGATGCCTTCGACCAGTTTTATGACCTGGGACAGGGCTTGAAGGAACCAATTCAAATCACCTTCTTGGATCAGTTCGGTGCACAGGAGGCTGGTATCGATGGTGGTGGTGTCACCAAAGAGTTTCTGACAAGCGTCACCAACCGAGCCTTTATGCCTACAGACTATATCGACATGTTCATCGAGAACGACCAACATCTCCTCTATCCTAATCCTGCTGCACTTGAAGAACACAAGGAAGCTCTGCGACAAGCGGGCATACGCGAAGGATCACAAGAGTATCGTGCGCAAATCACCGAGCTGCTTCAACGCTACGAATTCTTGGGTCGCATCATCGGCAAATGCATGTACGAGGGTATCTTAATTGACGTCAATTTTGCACCCTTCTTCCTACGCAAATGGGCTCTGACAGGCGGCGCCGGCTCCGCACCTAACGAATCAGGCTACCGACCAACGCTCAACGACCTTCGCGACCTGGACGAAGAGCTGTACCAAGGCCTGCACAAGCTCAAAACTTATCCTGGTGATGTGGAGGATTTCTCGCTCAATTTCACAGTCACAGACACGATTGTCGTCGACCACACCACCACACCCAAGAAGACCAAGGCTATCACCAAGGAACTCAAGCCCGACGGCTCCAACACACCCGTCACGAACCAAAACCGCCTCGTCTACATCAGCTACATGGCACGCCACCGCCTACAAAACCAACCCTACGCCCAAACCGCCGCCTTCCTCCGCGGCCTCAGCACAATGATCCAGCCCTCCTGGCTCTCAATGTTCAACCAGTCCGAACTGCAAACCCTCATCTCCGGCACCCGCACCTCCATCGACGTCGAAGACCTCCGCCGCAACACCATTTACGGAGGCACATACGTCATCGGCGACGACGGCCTCGAGCATCCGACCATCCAGCTCCTCTGGAAGGTCATGAAGGAAATGTCCGACGATGAGCGCCGTGCTGTCCTCAAATTCGTCACGAGCACCCCTCGCGCCCCACTGCTAGGCTTCGCAACGCTAAATCCCCGCTTTAGCATTCGTGATGCGGGGAGCGATCAGGAAAGGTTGCCTAGCACGAGTACGTGTGTGAATTTGCTCAAGTTGCCCATGTATCGCGACGAGGCGACGCTCAAGGAGAAGTTGCTGTATAGTGTTTTTTCGGGCGCTGGCTTTGATTTGAGTTAGGCAAATAAATTCGATTTTCTTGGTTTTGCAAATGGGCTTTTGTCCGCGTGTTTGGCTCAATGTCAAAGTTCGAGTAGGGTTTGGAGAAGGTGTGACCAAGGGATTGATTGCTCTTGTAGGTTCGCAAATAGCATGCATGGAAGCCGCAGTGCAACGTAGATGTAGACGTTTTCTTTTTTCTTTCAACTGCAATAGAGACAATTTCTCTCTCTCTCTCTCTCTCTCTCTCTCTCTCCCACCCCCTTTATCTACGTAATTTGGGTTTTTTTTATGAACTTACGGTATTCTACTGCACGGTGCAAAGGTGCGCATTTCAAGTAACAATGTGCAACGAGACACCCAGAAAACGGATAGACATGTAAGTATGATGGCAAGCAAAACAAAACAGAACCAAAAAAAAATGCAGGTTTGGGTATAGTTTGCTGACAGGTTTTACACAGCTTGGGCGACGATATGGGTGCCTTTCACAGGGGATATAGTATCCCGAACTCCCCTCTCCCTTATCTACCATATCCACAACACGGAAGGTAGTAAAAGCTACAGGAGCGCAAAGGCCGTCAATCGTCTAACAACGAACCAATGTTTCTACACGACATGCACCTAGAGCCTGGCACGCTCCTAGTGCCGCTCAGGCATCTGATGCTGTCTCTTGAGATAACTCGCCTGTAATCACAGTCAGAATTCGTTAACGTTCCCAGGTAAGATACCCCCAAAGCAAATCAACCAAAAGACTCACCTCATCTAGCACAGCCTGCAGTCTACCTTCCTCAGCCACAACCTTCTTGACTGTATCGCTGACATTGCCTTCGAGGCCTACATTACAGCCGCGCGGCAGCCATCTTAGTATATGGAATGCGTTTGCATATACGCTCGTTGCTCCCGTCATTCTCCCGTCGTCGGGCAGGCTGGCTTGGAGGATGATTTTGAAGGTTTTGAGACCCCAGCAGTATCTCAAGCCCAAGCGGACGAGGTCGGCGAAGCCATCGAGGATATCGTGGTGTGAAGGTATTGTAAGAACGACGTGCTTGATGAGGCTGCGGGAGCGCTGGTGCAGTGTCGAAAGCGTATGTATGCCGCTTGTCAAGCTGAGCGTAAACACGTTGTCGCTGTAGAGAACCTGCCGCGCCTCCTTATATATCTGCTTATTCAATCGCAAAATCTCTGGGATGATGGGGTCGCTCAGTGGGATGCGCTCTGGTCCTGGACTTTGGCCTCTGGCCCGCTGATTCAAGTATGGTCGCTGCTCCGGTCCGTGAAACCATACTCTGCGTAGGACGGGCGCCGGCGCAGGAGGAAACTCGTCTTCGTCAGGCTTCTCGGGAGCACGGTCGGCATGGAGGAGGAGCGGTTCCTCGCGCACGAGCGCCATGTGGTATATGTGGATGCGAAGTTCGGCGGGAAGCTTCATAAATGGAAAGGGGGATTCGAGGACGTCGTCGACCGTGGGACACGATGGCGCAGCTTCGCATTCGGACAAGTTGCTGGGTTCTGGTGTCGCGAGGCCGGTTCGAACGGGCGGGTTCAAAGGGCTGAGGCAAGACGTCGGACTCTCTGGTACTGCATCGCTGGCCGTATCGCATGTGCGAGATCTTTTCGATCTGTTATCGTGAGGTTCGACCTCGTCTGCTAGTATTAATCTCTTCCGTCTGGGTGCCGCGCGCCGATCCATGACTGGCTGCTCTGGTGTGATAATATCGAATAAAGTCGAACAACTCATCGGCAGAGTAGCAATGTTCAGAAAGTTTCTTTTTTTGGTCGGCTATATGGTGCCGACGGTCACCTCGGTGGGAGGGAATGACGCGTCGGGCGTGCGAAATACCACGTTCTAGTCTTAGGGAGACAATCCGGCTAACTAGCTCATCATCGCAGGCGCAGATACAATGGAATATCGGGGCGGATAACGCAACAATACAAACACAATAGCAAGACTCTTGTTTATTGATAAACAAAAAAGCAGTGAATGTCAGAAGTAGGTAACAGACAAGTGGATTCGCGGGTCGGGAGGTGGGTGATTGCGGGGTCGAGAACACCAGTAGCGCGTCTGAGGATCCAGCAGGCAAGTGCCAATGCGCATGATAGTTGCGTCACGTGTTTCTTCAATAAATAGCACTGGAAGATTGGCATGTGCGATGTGAATGAGAGTCCTGAGCATGCCATGATGTGCTGTCATTGAAAAACATGGCCCTTGTGGGCCAAAATAGTATTGCAAGAATATGTCTCTGTAAAGTGATTTGCACCAAATTGTTATCTACTGCAGCCAGGACAGTGCGGACCGCCGGCTTCGTATCTACACAATCGGCGTCGGTCGAGAAATTAATAATAAAGGGAATCAGAAAACAACCACACGCCCTATCCATCTGTCCCGCATCCTACAGTTTGTTGTGACCTCGAAACTATGAAGCATTCAGATATCCCCCTACAGAATCTCAAGAGCATAAGGAACAATATCTCTAGGTAACCGTCCTCCAGTTACAGACATCAGGTAGCGGAGACGACAAAAGAAACTTAGGAAAATTCCTCCGCATACCTGCCTAGACCACCTTATAGGTCTATTAGGTTGTTGCTGCCAGGTTGTCGGTTCTGCTGCTGCTGCTGGGCACCGAACGGGTTGGCATTGCCGTAAGGGTTGGCACCAAAGTTGCTCGCTGGTCCAGTCTGTGCGGGCATCAAGCGGTTTTGTTGAGGCATGCCTGTGAACTGCGAGTTCAAGAAGGGGTTGTTTCCAGTGGCATTTGCGTTGATCTTGTTCAAGCCCGCGCCGGCTGAGTTAACAAACGTTCCTGGCGCAGTGTGCTGAGCGGGAATACGCATGTTTCCTACGTTGCCAAAAGTATCCTGACCCTCTCCGGTTGCCAAGAGTGCATTGAGTCGTGCAGCGGTTGGGTCCATTTCCTTCTGTGGTGGTTGTGGTCGCTGTTGCTGCTGTGGTTGCGGCGTCGCCTGTGGAGAGAATGATGGCTGGGGGCTGAAAGACGGGGTGTTGAACTGCGTCTGAGTCTTTTGCTCACTTAGAGTGTTCAGCGTCGGTTGTGTGAAGGACTGCGTTGGCTGCGGGCGGTTGAAAGACTGCGCGAATGGGTTATTGGAGCCAGTCGGCTGCGGCATCAGGGATTCCTGAGTCTTGTTGCTAGCCCATGGGTTGTGGCTGCCAGGCTGGAGTGTGTTCTGGTCTTGCTGTGGTTGCTGCTGCTGCTGCTGGCTCATATCTCCAAATCCGCCGAATTGGCCATACGGGTTGTTCGTAAAAGCGGTTTGCTGGGGCTGGATAGTGTGCTGAGGTTGCAAATATTGCTGTTGCTGCTGAGCGCCAAACTGATCAAAACCCGTCGGTTGTGGCTGCTGTTGGAAACCTCCATAGCCTCCAAACCCGTTCTGGAATCCCGTCTGCTGGGGCTGCATTCCAGTAGGCTGGGCGTATGCAGTGTTGAGGAAACCAGTGTTCTGGGGTTGCTGCTGTTGCTGATTTGGATCCACAAGGTTGCCAAACCAGTCAACCTGACCCTGCTGCTGATAACCTTGGTTGTTTCCGGTGGGCTGGTAAACACTTGGCTGGGCAGTAGTCTCTCCGAAAAGCAGGTCGGCATTGGTTTGTTCGAGCTCCTTGCGGCGCAACTCCTCTTCCTCTTTACTCAACTTGATCGCCTTCTCCAGGTCATCGTCGTTCTCATCGGCCCTTGCGCTGCGTTCTCGACGCTTCTTTTCCTCTTCGGCCTCATTCCTACTAGCCTCAAGGGCTAGCCTGAGCTCGATATCCTCTTCTTCTGTTCTACGGTTACGGCGCTGTTCGCCGTTCCGCTGGTGCCTTTGCGCATCATGATCTGCACGCTGGGGTCCGCCTCCAGGATATTCCTCAATGCCCGTAACTCGCGACTTCCACGACTTCCTGTCGGCTCGCTCGGCGCGTAATCGTTCTTCGTCCATGATGAGCGAAGTCAACTCCTTGGCTGCCATTCGCACTGCGGGTGTCTTAGTAAGCTGTTCTTGCTGCGGTGCGAGACGCGCTTACCATTCTGACCAACATCACGGCCGTCCTCGTCAATGTGTTGGAATTCGCGCAATGTCTTGATGATGTAGATGTTCTTGCGCGCCCAGGTTACGACGAGCTCTGAGCCCTCGTGCAGGCAGTAGTCGAGCACCTTGAGCGATTTGAGGACGTGGCGCCAGTTTTTGCCTCGGTCGTTGAGTCGTTTGTCCAGCATGTCCATTACCTGGTAGAAGTCGGTCGAACTGGGTAAGGTGTCAGCATAGCCGGGCGCGATTCACACAGGGCGCCCATACCTATTGAAGGTGATTTGGGCAATCTCAGCCATGTCGGAGCCCACAGGGCCCCATGGATCGTTGCTGGTGGCTGCAATTGTTAGATGCGCCATACGTGTAGCTCACAGGGTGCTCCTTACCATTGCGGACCTTGACTTCGACCTGGCTGTAGCCCTTTGTCACGTTCTTGACGGATCTTGCGATTTTACTCATGGCTGCGACGTATCTGGGAGAAGAAGATGATCAAAAGGTAGTAAGGGGCAGCGGAGCTGTCGGGAGGGAAGGTCGCAACAGGCGTGCAGCGGATCAGAGCTGGAGCGCTGGGCGTATGACGTGCCGCTAACCAGACGAGCTCAAGCAATGAGTGGCGCGATGATTTGGAGCCCGTTGAAGGTCCAGCGAGGGTGGGAAAATGGGGCTGTGTCTTCCGTGTGGGCTGTGGCAAGCTGTGGTAAAATGGACTTGCAGGAGAGTCGTGGATAGACGTAATGCGAGGCTGGTGCGCTGATGACCACCTGCAGCATAGCCAGGGCCCGAGCGACCGAAACCCAGGGTCGGAGCGCTACGACGTCAACCCCAGAAAATATCGCCCGCCTTGGAAACTCCTCGACGTACCAATGCAAGCCATGGCAGCCCTCCTCTACCTGCTCAAGCAGCCAATTTCTCAAAGTGCCCAGATGTGCTCGCGAGCAGCCCAAGGTGCTAGAGGCGACTGGCGAGCGGGCTGACGAATCTGCCTCGTCAGCCGCCCTTGGTAATATCATGCAATGCTAGGGAACATGCTCCAGTGAACGCAACTGGTTTGGGCGAAGCCACAGCAGTGGCGTGAAATACCTGCAACAAGTCCAACATGCCCAACAAAGGTCAAACACTGTGTCTGAGAGATGCACGCTGATGCGCCTATAGTAGCAGCAATCCAAAGCTACGGTTGGGCATCATTGCAACCTTCCCCCCTTACTACCGGCACGACTTATTGGACCAGCACCCACCGCAAACACCTGCTGAGTCCAATCATCTGAAGCCTAAGTATATATATATATATATATATGAGAGGCCCAAGGAATGTTTGTCATTGTCATCTACGGCTCTCACATTTGCCTTCAACCCTCAACACTCACATTCACAGGCTTTGGAGGGATTACAAGTAAATTAAAATTGATTCACATTTTTTGGTCCTGCTTGCGCAGAATAGTTGTAGTCTAAAAGTGGATGTAAGTCCTTCATTAAATACCAGTCTAGAGATTTGCCCACGTCCGTAAGAGAAACGAGACAGAAAAGATACAGGCCAGGACGCCCTTGCCAATCTTGATGTGTCGCAGACACGCCCAACGCCTGCCATCCTGTGGTGAGCTCCCGGTCAAAAGTAACTAGAAAGTAAACCCCGGAGAACCCGCCACCAGATAAATACCAAGAATTGTAAACAGAGAGAAACGGAGAGAGACAAGGGAGGAGATGACAAAGTCGGGAAACATGTAAAGAAACCTCCGAGCGCTTCAAGTCCTGCGAATCCATGAAATCTGCCATGCAGGACATTTTGATGTAAACAATAGAACACGCCAGTTGCGCAAAGGAAAATTTTGGTGGGCAGTCAGGGTTATGAATCCTGCTGGCCGAAACGAAAAAACACCACTCTAAAGGACTCGCATGTATTAGTTGTACAGACGAAAGCGATGACCCATGATGGTACCACCATGGCTCCAGAAGGCCCTGTTGAGTGCATGGTAGCTCGTCCAAGCCAGTATCCGAGACTGCTCGGCTATTACAATGGACATGATACAATGGTTGGATGGAGAGTCGATCGAGGCATTACGATACTAAAAGGGTAGGTAGTCTATTGAACGGCAGGTGCCCACATCTCGTTGCCCATCCGCTGTTGGTTGGGGTTGTAGTGGTCAGGCTCAGTGCTGTTTGGGCGACGGATGTTGTTGTGTTGGTAGTACATGCCGTTCTGCGCCTGGTACTGGGGCTCAGGGTAGACGTATCCGTTGTCACCGGCACCTGGAGAAGGCAGGGCCTGTTGGCCGGGTGATTGCCAGCCCATGGCAGACATATGCGGGCTTCCATTAGCGCTGTTGGTACCTCCAGACTGGTTGTGGTTGGCAGACGCAGGAGGCTCAAGGATCGGTGGGGGGCCATATGCACTCGGGTGGGATGTAATGGCGGGGCGAGAGCCGCTCACGTTGGAGGCATACGATTGCGCAGTAAGCGCAGGAGATGCTCGGGGGCTAGGCTGAGGCATCTCGTGACGCATGTGCGGTGGGACGTTGATGCCGCCCATGTAGGCGTAGTCAGAGCCCTGGCGGTGAAGGCCGGGCATGCCACCTGCAGGCATTCCATTGGCAGGCGAGAGAGACAGCGTGCGGTCGTTGGGCGAAGGAGTGCCCAACGGGGAAGCTGTCTCGGAATAATCACCGCCGTCAGAGCGGCCGGTCCTGCTCGAAGCAGAAGCACGCGAGGCAAGCGCAGCGGCTGTAGCAGCGGCCGCCTCCTCAACAGTGCCAGTGTGGTGGTTCTGGTGACGTGTCAAAGTAGTGCGTCGCGTGAACGTCTTCTGGCAGTCGGCATAGGGGCACTTGTATGGGCGCTTGCCAGAGTGGATACGGCGATGGCGCGCCAAAGAGCTAGAATCACTGAAAGGCTTTGTTGATGTTAGTGAGGAGAAAGCAAGCGAGCTAAAGCGTGAAAACATACCTTTCCGCATCGCTCGCACATGTGAGGCTTCTCGCCAGTGTGGACACGTTGATGGACCGTCAGCGCCGAACGCTGGATGAACTGCTTGCCGCAGTTTGGGTAATCGCAGACATGAGGTCGGATGCCGCTGTGGATACGTTCTGCGAGTGTGTCAGTGCGCTGCAGTTTTAATGTTGCGGTCCAAGCTTCGTACCATGACGTGCGAGGTCACTGCGTCGCGCGAAGCCTTTACCACATGTCGAGCACGCGAACGCCTTTGGTGGACCCGTATCAGAGGCGGGCCGCCCACCATTGTGCTGGTGCTGGACCTGGTTGTCAGGCATCTGTTGTTGCTGGGCATAGGCGTGGTCTGGGGGGTTTGGAATGTAGTTGCTGTTGTTCAGCATGGGCATGGGCGCCTGCATCTGCGAGGGCGAGGGGTAGCGGAGGCCGTTCATGTGCTGCTGGGGGATGGAAGGGTACGAGGGGAGTTGCTGCTGTGGTTGCTGCGATGAGTAGCGCGATGAATCTGACGGGTGAGGCGAGACGCCGCGTTCAGAGCCGTTTTCAGACTTGATGTGGCCGCCGTTGAGGTACGACGGGGGCGCGCCAAAGTGCTGTTGCTGCATTGCGTGCTGCATGGTGAATAGGGAGCCGTGTCCTAGGGAGGCTGTTAATCTCGCGTTCAGAATCGTGTCAAGCTCCATTGTCTCAGAGCTCGCTTCGCGTGACGGGCGACGTGGGAGGAGAAAAAAAGGGCCAAAATGGGGCGGTTTTGGGGGTTAAGAGACGGGGAGGGCGGAGCGCACCAGGAGAGAGAAGGAGGGTGGAGCGGGCTGGCTGGGAGCCTCGCAGTTGCACGTGTCGCGCTGGAGTGAAGGAGAGACAGAAGGGCGGAAAATCAGCAGGCGTCGACGACAAGAGTCGGGATGCTTTGGAGCGGCAGTGAGTAGGAGTCGAGTCTCGTGTCGGACCGCGCGCAGGTCAATGCAGCGGAGGGACTGGACGAGGGCAAAGTCAGTCGCGTGGGTGAAGGAGCGTGGAGGCAGCAGAGCGGGCGAGCGAGTGAAGGGGCAAAGGAGTGGCGCGCCAGAAATTGTCGGTCTGGCAGTCGGGCTGGCCACGGCTGGGGGGAAAAGGGGAGTGGAGCGGTGAGAAGGGTCTTGTGCGGGAGGTTGCGGGCAGCACGGAGCGAAAGCGGACCGTTCTTGTGGTGCAGTACGTACCTGAGATAGATATAGACGGGTGAGGTGTCGGGGCAGGGGATGGGCGGTGATGGGGGGACGTGGTGTTGAAAGTCTGCAGGTACTTCTTTACTCACTGCGCGTAGTTGCCCAGAAAGTCAAAGGGCGCTAGAGCGCTTACGGCCTTGGGCGGATCCCGGCCACGAGCTAGTCAACAAAAGGGACCACGATGTGCGCCCGGAGTCCGAGCGCAAGAAGGGCCTCGTTAGTCGACTGCACACCACCTGGGCCGATGCCGTCTGGTGTCTTGGTGCTGGTGCTGGCCCTGCTGGTCTTGGTGCTGGTGCGGGTGCGCTGCTGCGAGCGAGGACCGACTGAAACTGCCAGTCTGCCCGACGGCTTTCCCACGCGACGGGCCCGGACAGGGGGGCGATGGGAGGGATGCCTGTGTGTGTGTGTGTGCACACACTCGCCGATGGCTGCCACTCCAACCTAACTAACTGATCCCGCCAACCGCAACGCCCGGCACCGTCAAGTGGCACTGCTGCAACGCTCCCGAGGGGCGAACCGTTGTCCTTTCCGAGCCACCGCGTCCTCGACGGGCCTGGTGACGTTGGAGACGGGGGCAAAGAGACGCTGCTCACGGTGGGCGCGCGCGCAGACACACAATTCAAGAGGCCCAGATTGCTTTGGCCCAACAAGCTGGTCGACTGCCTCTTTTTGTTTTCTTGCGACTGGCTGCTGCAAGAGGCGCAGGATCGTCTTATTGCTTTTGGACGGCAAAAAGAAAACGTCAATGGACGAGGCGGCGGCGGCGGCTGCTGCTGCTGCTGCTGCATGTCATTGTTAATCGGGTTCGCGAGCCGTGCGCTGACTGTGTTCTTTGGAGGAGCGAGGGGTGTCATGCGGCTTACCTATCCCCAACTGGCCCGCGGGTTGCTGCTTGCACTCGCTTTGTTCGCAGGCAGGTGGTGTCAAGATCTGGAGAGGATCAAAGTGCCGGTTCCGTCGTGCGGTCCCTCTTCAACGCTCTGGACAGGTGGTGCGTGTGCTGTCTGTCCTATCTCTTGGTACAGTTATACTACCAAGTAGATACACGCAGAGGGCGTCATGGCACGTTCAAATACACCACATCAGTGCATCCCAAGCAAAATTCGAGTGCGGAGCAGCCCTATCCTTGCGCTCATCTCGCGCTCGCGACGCTACAGCTTCACCATGACCAGGACCATTGCTGCAAGCATGCCCCTCCTGGCTGTCAAGGAGCCAGGGCAGTCATGCGACCTTGTTTGAGGCGTCTGTGGCGCTTTTGTGCACAGATGGAGATCCACAAGCCGGGCGACAGCACTGTCGCCAACGTATCAATGTACTGACTATACATACACATGTACATACATACATAACCACGTAAGTACTCCGGTGTCTGCCAACAGGCCCATGGAGGACAGCTTTTGTCGCGTCTAGACACCAGTGGGCCGCGGACAGTGTCAGCTGGTCGCCATTGTTGCCAGCAGTGCCAGGGCGGGCTCGCTCTCCCTTCCGCACACGGCGAGCGGCCATGTGGAATTGGAATTGCATTGCAAACATGGCCAGGACGGCGACTCAGCGGTTCCTGGAGAGATGCTGGGATTGGGGAGAGCATGGGCCAGTTTGGAAGAGCCATGGAAGGCCGCTAGAAGGAACAAAGGCACGGTGCATAAGACGTGTCGTAGCCGTGCAGCGGGCGACAAGTCTGCGTGCCGGCAAAGGGCCCAAGCACAAAGGTGGGTTTGAGACAGCAGAAAGAAGCATAGCATTCTCAATCCCCAAGACGTCTGGCTGTGCTGCAGGGCAGCCTATTGGCGAGGCTTGTCGAGAATGGCGGAGGCTGGGGGAGGGCCTTCTGCCTTGTGAGACGGCCGTCGACGCCCCTGAAGCTCCGTGGAAACACTTTGGGCTCACGAACGACGCGCCCTTCCCACCCCCCACGAGGCCGCCACACAGCTGTAACCCCCAGAAACACCTGCGTGTGTTCGCGGGAGGGGATTGGCCCTCATTGGCGATATATATGGCAACACACACACACATAGACACGCTCCCTTCCCCTGGCGACAGGTGCCTATTGTAGAAGCAATGCCAAATCGACGATGGCCGTAGTAGCATGTCTGTCTCGACGAAATTCAACGCGCCCCCCTTGCCTTTGGCCATTTGCGGCCCAGCGCCGTGGGGAGACGGGATGGCATGGCAGATTGCGGCCAGGCTAGGTAGGTGGGAAGGCCAGGACAGGCGGCACGTGGAGCGTTCTCGGACAAGGGCACGATGGCTACGCTGGCTGAATCTCCCACCGACATTTCAAAACATTTGGGCCATGTATTACTTAGTTGTAGTTGCGGTGAAGGAGTCGTGGACTGGCACTGGGCTGCTTGGGGCGCTCGGTATGCTTCCGCTAGATCCGTCTGTGCTTGCGCGTCCCACCCCGGCCAAAGTATCTGCCGGGGCCCACCAGTCCCAGCCTCACTGTGTGTTTCGATCATCGACACACGTACCCCCTAAACAGTTGTGCACCACCCGCACGCACACGACATGCCACCACCTACTACCCTGCATTGCGACAATGCCCATCACATCACTCACAAAAGCACTACAAACAAGCCCATCCTCAACTGCGATTGTCGCTGATCGACGCCTGCCGCCTGCACCTGCACCTGCACCCCGTCTGCCGATGCTTCTTCTTCTCATTCTTCTTATTCTTCTTCTCCCATCCCACCCCACCCACTACTCCTCTGTCTGACCCTGCCAACTCTAATTGCTAATAATGCGCCGGCCAGCGGCACCCACTACCGCTAGCCTGGCACATTTTGTCCCATCATTTTGCAAATGCAACGAGCTATTCTTGTCTTTGGAAGCACAGGGCGCCTCAGATATCCTGTGTCATCAAAGCGTGCCACTGGCCCAGCGGCTGCGGCCCCAACTCCCCTTGACCAACGTTCCGGCGCAAGGGCGACTTGTTACCAACCCTGCAGCGAGGCTTCGACAATATCCAAGCGCCCTTCTCTGCAATTTCTAGAAGCCGCAGCATGCATCGCTCGTGTCACGGAGCGCTGCACTCGCCCACACCCTGTCGTTTTCCAGAAGATTGCCCATTTGCGCGCGTCTACCGCACACGCACACCCTCTCTTTCCAACACACACACACATACCCTCGATAGCACCAGTCAACATCCACATCCATACGCAATACCTCCGTCATGCTCATTGAAGCCACCTTTTCTACCCGCCCCGAAATGCGCGCTTTTAGCTGCTAGAAGAAGATGCCGGCGCGGGATCAAATCCGACTCGCTTGCATCCGCATGAAAGCCACAAACCATGGCCTTTTACCATTCGGCCCTATTCATCATCGTCCGCTCCTGATCTGCCCTACTCCACCAATGTCCAGCCTTCTCATCAATTGCATCGTGAGCCCCCTTTTTGTTCAATTGCAGTATAGTGCAATATGTCCTCGTGACTACTGCCCTTGTTGGACAAACTGCCCTACATGGTCTTGCAAATGTCGCTCAGTAATATCTGGCCCCAGGTTCAGGACAATTTGATGTTGCCGCAAAAAAGCTCATCTCATTCCTAAGCATCCACGTCCTCGGAATAAGGCCAATGCCATGGCCGCCGCTGTTCAACATGGGCATCTTACCACCATAGCTTGCCGTTCCAGGTGCACGTTGTTTCTCGAGCCGTTGCAAATGGCATCTGACGGTATGCGCGGTGTACAAATCGTACGTATTACATGGTTAGCACTAAACGCCGCAAAATGCAGGTGAAACATGACGGCTGCACAGACACGTCGCGCGCAATGAGTCAGTTTGCGTCATCAAATATCTCCGATAGGCGGGATGAGCTGAGTCTCAATTGTAGTAGTATACATAATACAGCACATTTGCGAACCCGAACCCACTCCTCGTGTCGGCCCGCACAAACACTATATGTAGCAAGAAAGAAAAAGACAAGTGGCAACTGCCGACTTACGCCCGATATCAAAATACAATCATGATCGCCATAATCATCATAAGAGAAAAAAATTGAATTAAAAAAAGGACCGACAAAACTGGAGAGTGGTCATGATTCTCAGATCCTAGGAACTCCACCAGTACCGAACAACTCCATCTTCACCCGCTCACTTGGAACGCCATAGCTCTTCAACTGGGCCTCAACGTCGAGCATGAACGATGTGGGTCCGCAGCAGTAGTACATTGTGCTGCTGTTGTCCGTGTGGAGAATTGTCCTGTCGACGCGATCGAGATCCACACGGCCTTTGATATCATAATCGTGGCCCTGCATATCCTCCTGGCTTGGGCGTGACAGGTAGTAGACGGCATGCACGTTCCCATGGTTCGCGACAACACACTGGTCCATGTGCTTCTTGAAGGCCCTGGTCTGCGAGTTGCGCGCACCCTGGATCCAAGTAATGGGCCGAGCTGAATCTGCCTCGTCAATCAAGAAATTCAACATGGACATGAGTGCAGTCACCCCGACGCCTGCCGAGATGAGCACCACTGGGCCTCCTGCTGCTGCTGTTGCTGTTGCTGTTGCTGCTGATACAGCTGTATTATCGTCGTCATGATGGCCCGCTTCCCCGGAATCGGCAAGGTGGAAATCTCCAAACGGATGCGACACCTGCACCACATCGCCCTCGTGCTTTGCGTCGTGCAGCAGATTGGAAATGTACCCCACATGCGTCATGTCCTTGGTCTCCCCCAGCACCACACCAGCCTCCCTCTTGACACTGATGCGCAAATAGCTCTTGCCCGGTGCATCACTCAAACTATACTGTCTAGCCTGCCACACGCCCCCATCCAGCTCCTCCACAAACACCCTAACCGAGACATACTGCCCCGGCTTGAACCGCGGCAGCTTCAGCTGGCCAGCATCCACCGGTTCGAGATAAAAAGACGTAATCTCCTCGCTCTCCTTGACCTTCTTGGCAATCCGCAGGTCCTGCCACGACGGCCAGTACGCCGTCGAGCGGTACAGCTGGCTCTCCTTGCTAATCATAATGTTGGCGAGCTGCCAGTACGCCGCGCCCCACGCATCCAGGATCTCGGGGGTTGCGGCCGCGCCCAGCACGCTCGCCATGGTCGACAGCAGGTGCTTGCCGACAATGTCGTATTGATCGGCGCGGATAAACAGACTCGCGTGCTTGTGGCAGATGAGTTCAACCGCGGGACTCAGCTTGCCCAGGTTGTCGATGTTGGCGGCGTAGGCGTACAGGGATCCTGCGAGTGCTTGCGCTTGATGACCCGTCGCTTGGTGCGTGTTGTTGAAGATGTTTTTGAGTTCCGGGTTCGCTTGTAGCATGTCGTGGTAGAATCGAGTGGTTATGGCCGTTCCATGTTCTGCGAGTACCGGCACGGTGCTCTTGATGATTTGGACTTGGGCTGGTGTCAAGGTGGCCATTGTGCGTTCTTCGTTTGTCTATCCTTGTTTAAATTTAAGTAGCTTTTTGTCTATACTTGATAGTCGAGTTGTAGTAGCAGTAGATATGAAGCCTGTTGTTGTATGTGTGTGAATATGTAGTATGAATAAAACCATACCACATCTTTCACCATGACACACCTATATACCTCCCTGTCCTTTCCATCCGACCACTCCGTCCATTCCTACATTCCCCGTTCAAACCAACATCTCCGCGGTAACTACAAAACTTCACCTTTTTGCTATCCAACTCCCCAATCCATCACGCCCTCCTCGTAGCCTGTTTTCCCGGTCCCCACATGCGGATATCTCGCAAGGCGCATACAGCATAAAAAAACTCGCGTGATATAATGCTGAGTCACTTGCAAATCTGGCGCAGACAAAACGCCCAAAAATTAAAAAAAAGGCTTAATGGAATTTGTAAGGTAAAAAGTCGGACGTTTACGGTAGTGGGGCCACCAAAAAATTACGTATTAATTTGGTTACATTGTTTTGCACGTTACTTACTGTTTGCGCTGTAGCGGTTTCTCCGATACTTCCGTTTGCCGGACTGCTGTTTTTTCCTTTGCTTCGGCTACGTTTGCCCCTGGCAAAGGATTTTAATTCTTATTGTTTATTTTGGCAGAAGTTTATCATTTACACCGTTGATCAATTTTGATAAATAGGATTTATCTGGTTGGCTGAAGTTGTGGAAATGCGAAGAGAAGAAAAAAAAAAGTGAAAGTTACTATTGCAAATGGCGCATATGATTAATTGGGTTTGGAACTTTGAGTCAATCAATATGCGCCATACAAACACGCAGAGTGAAACCAAGACTTGGAAATGCTGCATGCAAGACTGTTCAGCTGAGCGAATTGCTCACACCATTTTTTTTTCTCCTTTGAAGACGCTTGAAATCAGACGTTGCATAGTGGCGCGTTGCGCGAGGCTCTCTCACGCGCGCAGGCAAAAAGAGAGGGCTGAGAAAGAAAACAAAAATATCACACCACAAACGTCAGATAGCCACATGATACTTTTTTTTCCACTCTTGCAAGCCACGACGGCGAACGCAACACATAGCCCCTTTGGTCCCGCGCCACAAATCGGTATGCCGACTTCTTCCGAAAAACAACTCGTGGTACAAGTGTTTTTCTGATTGTTCAATCATGGCCCCCCGGACCCCGTAGGGCGCAGGCGCGGGATTAGTAAGAGGGGCTTGGGTGCATTGTGTCTGGATGCGCTATGGAATTAGGAAATTGATGATAGGTAGGTTGGTAAGGCGCCCTTGTGACAACTGGTTGGGATGACGCTGAGTGTTAGGTTGTGAGACTTTTTTTTGGGTTGAGGTGTTTGTGTTCTCCGCGGAAGTGCGAAAGAGGGATTGATTGTTAAAGGAATGCAGGTGTGACGTGGGAAAGGGAAAAATTGGTGCAATCACATTCTTGACATAGGTATTACAATGGGACTGGGAATATCTACGTCAGGGACTATGCAAAGGCATGTATTTGCTGGATGGACTACACCAAGTAGGTATACACCTAGAGGGTTTCCTGGCTGCTGAATGGTACACGCTCTGTGCGTTGCAGCCAAGACCAATCCCAGGTCTTTTGGTTCTTGGATTTTGGCACTGTCTCTGGCTCCAGGGACTAACAGTGGCAAGGTCCCTGTGCTTGACAAACGCCGTTGTGACATGAATCTAGTTCTGGGGAACGGCGGGCCTTGCATGTGCTATGACTATGCAATGGTCAGCGCTTCAAGTTGCCTCCACCTGGGCGGGCGGGACGTTCCGACTCATCAATACGTACCCTGCGCATATTCTTTCTAGACCGCCGTTCTGCTGTCTGGATAGAGTTTCCGACATGACTCTTTGACTCTAAAGCTTTTATGCAGGGCCTTTTCGCATTGGGGAGACGCTGCCACTGAACTAGGTCCCCAAGCATCTTGCGTACGGACTCAACCTTCTTTTTCGCACGTACATACGCGAGACATTCAAACCATTAGTTACTTTCTGAATAGCGTTCATCTCGTATCCATGAGGTACGTCTCACCATTAGTCTTGGGCATACCGTTCGTGGAGTTACCCGCATAATACCTTTTCGTATAAGAACAACGAGACCGGCAATCCCAGCCTTGAATCCACATATTTCCAAAATAGAGCAACTCAAAGAAGCACCCAAAACTTGACGCAAAATAAGCCATGCAGCTCGCAAGTCTATAACGCTGCATGCATATCTCGAACGCAAACAAAGTTTCAACACATTTCAAAACATGCATGAGGGCTACGTGCGACAACACCACAAACACATGCAATGCCAAAAATCACGCCTCCTCGATATTGCCTCGGCCATTTACTCCGCAAAATGCGGTCTGACAGCAAAAGCAGTAACAATGAGAACGGTAATATCGCCACTCTGCGATAATCCGGCTGTGGGGCCGGCGTACCCGTAGCAAAGTTCTTGCTAACGAGCACGACCCCCCATATACCCATACTATAGGCTTTTACGGCTTCATTCAGGTGCTATGTGACCAGCAGACGCATTACATGACTAGAATTTTAGAGTCGGTGAAACTAGGTGGATACTTTCTACGTAAGTTCATTGTCATGGGTATTTCGAAGACCGAGGAACAGAGGTCGCCGGGTTATGGGAAGGTCCGAATGGTTTGCAGTGGCTGGGGAAGACAAGAGTTTGGAGATAGTGAATAAGGCGATACTAGAGATGGAGGCAAGAGAGGCGAGTAGGCCAAGGGGCATGTGGCGTTCGTTTGGGTGTTGGCCCGAAAAATGGTGAGATTCTAGTGAACCCACCACCGTACTTCTTTATGAACGCATTCAAACACCATTCATAACACCATTACAACATCGCAGTCCATACTCACACCTCAATACACCCCCAACCTACCGCCTCCCAGAAACTCCCTGGAAACCCTTCACACCGCGGGAATACCAGCACACCGAACTGAAACACCCACCAACGCAGCCCCCGATTCCCCACTTCGAACTTTATCCCCCTCCCCATTTACACTTCTCTTTGCACAACTCTATCACGTCAAAGAAGCAAAAGAAAAAAATGATCTCCCATCGAAAACCTTAGCCCCAAACCGAGTCTGCGGTGTGAATACCGAAAAAAAGAAAACTTTTTTCTCCATCGAGATGACACGCAACCCCCCCCCCCCCCCCCGGCGGGCATATTCCGAGGAGAAAGAAAGAGAAGAAAGAACAAAAAATGAGCTAGTAGGGACTGGAGAAACAGAAGGGATAAGAACAAACAAAAAAGAGAGTTGATCGCGTGTCAGTCACTACGCCCATTTTTAGGGGGGGAAGCGAATCACGGCTTACTGGGACTAGCGCGACGCTGCCGGAAAGGTTTCGCTCGATAATGGGGGGGGGGGAGCATAAGTGGTGCATTAATTTTGTGCAGCGGGATGACGACTGCTGTATAGGGGGGAGGGGGTTTGCTGTGTGAGACCAATAATCTATGTGACGAGAGGATTTCTCGTAGGTTTTCTGGTTGGGAGGCTGGAGGAGTTGAGTGTATTGCTCCTTTTTGGCATTCCTTCAGGGAATGTTTGGCGCGACGCGAGGTATCGTCGTGGCTAGAGGGTGTAGCGGAACGGTAAAGGCTGGAGCGATGTTGTTCGAGGAGACCAAGATGTCAGTTTTACACCCCAGCTTGGGCGAATCTGGTTTGATATTTTCTGTGCTCCACCTGGAAGCAGGTACTTGGTCGTGAAGAGCTTCGCACTTGTCTGCGTCATTATCTCTTCCTTCTTTTTACCGTAGCAGACCATAAGAGTGCAAAGTCATTGGGTAGACCGTAAATACTCCCAAGTGAGCTATACTCTTGTATTACAGATATGATACCACCTCAGCCACTTTCTCATGTATATTTCTGCTATGGATTGATACGTCGTTCTCTTTGGTATCAATGAAATGTCTGAAGCATTCAAGTGTCTTATAGTCTTCCTGCAGAACATAGGTGAGAGGTAAGGTATCCCTTTGAAATTATCTTCCATACGATACTTTGCTGATGTTGAAGGATCTTTTGGATGTTTTTTTACTTAAATCCGCTATCAGCTGGAAGTCCTGATAGAGAGGGACAAATGTTGAAATGACTAAAGGCTTTCAGTAAGAGTAAACGCGCAGCGGTTACGGTAAAGACGATACAACATTTTGATTCAAACCTAACTTTCACTTATGGCTGCAATGACCATATTCGATATGGTAAATATACGCTGTGGGACGACTGGAAGATGGTCGAATAATATTATACATGATTATAAGATACGGCCTCTTTACGAGACATAATCCTTTTCTCTGATAAGTGCTATTTATTTGACAAGGATTTCTGAATTCAGAAACTATTAAAAGGCTAAGTGTATATTTTAGAAGAGGATGGCAATTTGAGGCAGAATAGGAGGTGGCGGTATATATATCTCTGGCTGTGCTGGCTATCTTACCTTCTCTAGCTACTTGCCACTATAATTACAAGCTGCTTAAACTCTGCCTTCCTCTAATTAAAGGAGGAGATACTCATTGCCTACTAATGATTGGGAAAGTTAAATCGCTAAAGTCGAACGACGGCTTTCATCTGCAGTACAAGAATATGTAGATGTTGATATACCAAACAGACGAAGGATAGCAGGCTCAGTCACCAAATGTGCAAAACAATGATGAATAGAAACCGAATAGTAAGGCCGCTAGGTCATAAGTCACCAAGAGTATGGGGAAAAGAAGAGTATGTCTTTCGGTACCATACTTTATATATATTGAGACTCTGCTAAAGAAACCGACACTATCTGGCGACGTTAACTTCCCCAAAATTGCAGTCAAGGCCAGTAGAACGGCGCTGCAAAAGTGCATGTAAATAGCCGGAATCTTCGAGAATTCCAGAATATGGCATATCACATCTAGGCACTATGCAGGTGAATCTGACTTCTGGACTGGTGTAAGTAAAAGACTTCGGGTACTATTTCCCAAGTCATGGAATAGTCACACCCACGCGATGATAGGATTGATTATCATGAAGAGAAGTGATGAAAGCCACAAGACAACATAATTGATGAAAAACAAGCCTGATGCGAATGAGACTAGGTATTCGCCTGCTCTCATACATTAGGGTCCTGGATTTTTCCAGTGCTCCCTATAAACTCACAATTCTCCTACTGTTCTCATACTGCAACCACTGTCAACACATTCTTGCTATTGAACACGAGATATGGTCTTGATCCTGCAGATACCAATGTTAAGCCCGAGTATTCTGCAGCGGAAGTTTCCAACGATGGAAGAAAAGCATCCGATTAATCATTTGACGAGGTATTGAGGAAGAGGTTATTGTATTCGTTCAACAATCCCCTACTTGAAATCAGCAGACCAACTGCGACTACCAGTTTATTGAATAGAAAAACATTTGTCTTTTTTTTTGCAGTGCAACGTTACTCAATTTCTGTCGTACTAAGTCTTTGACCCATCAACCAAGCCGTGTTGGATATTGTAGGCAGTCAAGTCACGTGGCCAGTGCGAAGGCAAAAAAAAGACAAAAAAGACTTTTTGGACAGTCAGAGGTGGATTCGAACACTGGGACCACCACAACGATGCCAAAAATTTGCAAAAAAAAATGGTAGCTTCTCTTTGATTGAGCGTGTCATCCTTAGTGCAGGGGCCATGCTAATCTTCTCTGTATCGTTTCATTGACCAAATGCCCGAAGGCGAAGTGTAGAAAAGTTAAAAAAATTATATACTCAAACGCGGTCAAAACTCAGCTGAAGGCAGCAGCAGTGGGACGTGCGAGTGCGACCCCTATGTGGACGATGCACGGATGGCGCACGGATCATTGAATCTTCGTTATTGCCAATATCTGACGTAAACACTCTCCACCGCTTTCCCAGCCTCCGCTCCCCAATATCGTCTGTGCAACTCCACTTGTACACGTGCTTTGAGTGGACGTAGTTTCACGTCTTTTTCCTTGTTTATTTGGAAGCTGGGCGACATTGCCATGAATTTAGAGGCTGTGCGATCACTCCTTCACCCCTGCCCTGCATATAGGCAATAAGTACCAATGTATTTATTTATTATCCGCAGTTCTTCGAACGCGCGACTAGCAAGTTTACAAGAATTTGGAGGACTGCCATAGACAGAATCTCCCGACTTCTGCTGCTCGCCTCCATCTGGCCTCGTATTGCAGATATCACAGGGAGCACGAAGAGAATTAGAGCATACCACCAGGGCTCCGACACTGATACATTGAGATTATGGTTCACGACCTAAATTCATAGCGCGGATCAAACTCATCTTGGTAGTGAACTATGTGTTCTAAAAATATGCGCTTCCAAACCGTGAACGAACTCTTTACTTAACCACGGATTGTTGAGTGACAGAAATTAGCGCCCCAACAAGGTGATGATTCGGACGCTTGGGGTCGTGGAATAACTATGTACAATATATTTGGGAACGACAAAACCAATCAACAACCAGTGAATTACATTTTCGCTAGCTTTGCCGGAGAATTAAGACAGTGATGTATTGGGTCACGTATGTCAATTTCATGTCAAAGATGTATGTGAGGTTGTTAAGTAGGACTACGTGTGTTTATAGTCTTACAAGCACAAATATTCTTATCTCAGCCGACAAAAGCAATGTAATGACTATTGGCATATCAGATCAAGAAGTCTGAATTTATTCATGGCCGCATACAGGCTAGTTTATTGCTTCGCGCTCAGAACCTCCTTGACAACCGCAATAACTTGTGGGAAAGCATCCTTGGGAGCCGCAACTACACCCTTATTTTCTTTGAGTGTCCTACCAAGACCAAAGTCAAGCGGCTTTCCATAGGCATCAGTGACTTCACCGCCTGCCTCTTGGACGAGGACAACACCAGCAGCATGGTCCCAGATCTTCTCTTGGTAAGTCTTACTAGTGGGCAATCTCAAGTACAGATCGCCAGCTCCACGGGCAATGGAGCAATACTTGGCTTGAGAATCCATACGGACCGAAGGCTTGGTGATACCGAGTTTGGAGGCAATGGCAGCATTGTCGCCTTGTGATGAGTGACCCGCTTCAACAGACTCGCAAAAGGTAGCTTGGGTAACGTCTGACAGCGGCTTCATCTTGATACTCTTTGGCTCTTGGAGGGCGCCCTTGCTCAGCGGTCGGCTGGTAGCACCTTGGCCCTTCACTGCAGCAAACAAAACACCCTTACCTTCCTTGTCATCTGCATCCTGTCCAGTGGTGACATCAAGGGGTGCTTGGTCATCTACTGGGAGGTTGGGGCACCCAATGACACCCAAAGTTGGAACACCATCTACAAGCAATCCAAGGCAGACAGCGTACTGTCCGCCACGGAGGAAGCCCTTTGTGCCATCAATGGGATCAAGTGCCCAAATTCTTCCCTTCCTGCCTCCCTCGCTGTTTCCCTGGTCGATAGCAGACAACATTGCGTCGGCGCTCTTGATGGGCCCGCCAATCTTGGATTCTGCTGCACTGTCGTCCAACTTTGCTGCTTGTACGAGATCCCAGACAAGGTCGCGTAGCGAGTCGTTCTTGCGGAGATCATCGGCGTCCTCTTCTCCAACTATCTCATCTTCGGGGAAAGCGTGCTTTATGGATGCAATGATCAAGGCCTGTGCGCCAAAGTCGCCGATTGTGACGGGGGACGAGTCGCTCTTGGACAAAGTGCCCTTGGAGTGACTCGCGTATACCGACTTTGTAAGGATGGAGGCGCGCTGGACGGCCAGGAGAGCAATTTCAAGTTCTTTCTCGTATGCCATGATGTGTGTACTGGAATTCGTGTGTAGGAAGTGTGACGTCTGTATTGCGATGGATGGGTAGATGTGCTGTTTCAATTGAGAGAGACGAGCAACACTGCGAGAGAGCAAAGACGGGTTGAGGAGTGAGAAAGCCAGGATGGCAAGGGCTAGCAGAAAGAATCTTGATGGCGCAATGTGAGTGGACATGAGCTAATGGTCTTGTACCCCTCCACGCGCTGGTGGGGGTTCTGCCGTGGGATGGGTTCACGCCCAGGGACCGAGCTTGGCAACGGCGGGCGGAGGTTACTGCTTTGGTCATGGCCGCCATAGCAACAACAACAACCCTACAGCTTATGTGACCGACTAGCTGCTTTCGATACTGCCATCACACGTCGCTTTCTCTGCGCTGGCATTTGGAAGTTTCTTTTTGCAACATTCGTCTCACATTCGGCTAAGACCCTGACTCTCCCGTCTGACCCGCATGAGAGTAAACAAAGACTGGTACACACAAGCCCACCGACCTGCCACATCACGGCGAACGCCATTCTGTACATCAAAGCTCGAAACACGCCTACACGCAATATCGCTGCCCAGTCAGCTCAATAGTACATAATGGCTTCGACACAGCAGCAACAGCCAGCGCTTGCAACCACCAAGCGCAAGTTCAACAAACTTCTCGACAACCTCACCGCAAGTACCTCCACAACTTCACTCGCGAATAGCCTACAAGAATCGAACGCATCGACGGAGTCGCTTTCGGATCTAGATGACCCTGGTCAACCAAACAAACGACCACGCAGCGCAGGCTTGAGTACAGAACGAGAACGGAACATATCAGAGGGCCAGGAGCGCATACGGCAACTGAAGGAGCAGCTCATGACGCCACGAAGAGAGGGAACCGTCAGGGTTGTAGGAAAGACGCTATATACCCCCAAAGCCTCGACGCCAAAGGCCTCGACACCACGCAAAGAACCAAACTTTCAACCCTATAGCCAAGAGCATTTCCTCGCAAGGCTCAAAACATTCGCAGATGTAAAGAAGTGGACCACAAAACCAGATGCGATAAACGAGGTTGAGTGGGCAATGAGGGGGTGGAGCTGCGACATCTGGAACACAGTCGCCTGCAAGGGAGGATGTGAGAACCGTGTGGCGGTCAAGCTGAGGCCCAAACGAAAAGATGCAAGTGGAAGAGATCTTGAGATGAGCGAAGACCTAACGGTTGAGGTCGACAATGCGTTGGTGCAAAGGTACAAAGAACTGGTCGTTGAGGGACATGCCGAAGATTGCTTATGGAGGAAGCGAGGCTGTCAAGGTATGCGCTGACATGTATATGAAGTCAACGCCCATTCTAACAACCGAAACAGAAGATATTTATCATATCCCCATCGCATCGCGAGCAAAGAGCTCAGCCGAATTGCTCGATCGATATCGTTCTCTCAGAGCTATAGCTAGCGACCTACCCTTTCTCGAACACATCACATACCCCGAGCCGTCGATACGCCGCATCGTCGAGCGCATACCCTCTACATTCTTCACATCGACGCCCGATACTCCATATCCCACGTCATCAACCGACATAGTAGCCTTTGGCTTTGCTCTTTTCGGATGGACAGGCGTCTCGGAATCGCGCATCTCCCTCGCAGTATGCAACCACTGCTTCCAGCGCCTCGGGCTCTGGCTTTCCTCTGCCTCGCGCCTGCAAGAAATGAGCCGAAAACTCGAAGTACCAGTGGACAGCCTCCGCCTGAACCTCGTAGAAGCCCACCGCGAACACTGTCCCTGGAAAAACGCCGAGGTACAAGGAAACTCCAAAGACGGTCCCATAGCAAACATGGCAGCATGGCAGACGCTGCAATTCATACTCCTAGGTAGATCCAAAGACTCCTTTTCATCTTCTTCCGCCGCCGCTGCTGCTCCGAATACCCCGCAGAAATCGACGCCGAGGAAATCGCATGCCGGCCGTACAGACAGCGTGGAGTTGGATGCGGATCTTGAGTATCCGCGCGGCAGTATGGATAGCGTTGATCGACCCAAGTATAATGATGAGGATGATGAGGGAGGCCTCAAGGAGAAGTGGATCAAATTGAAGGCGAAATTGAAGCGCAGTGCTAGTAAGAAGAGTATGAAGAGCACGAAGAGCGGAAAGAGTGGCAAGAGTGGGAAGAGTACCTTCACGAAGGAGAAGTAGATATTGTTAGGAGGCTTATATTTTTTTTCTTTGTGGAAAGACGACTTTCATGTGGTGGATTTGGTTCCCTTTTAATGAATACCTTTTTCTTTTCTTTTTTTCTTCTTGGGTACGTGAATATGAAAGGTGTAGGGCAGATCGGAGGAGGGAGAGAAAGTATATTGTCGAGGACGGAGGAAAGTAAAATTTATAATCCTATTGTTCTTACTCAATCACGTTCGAATTGTCTGTATCACGCTTCCAGATATTTCAATGCAAAAAAGTTGTAAATGGTAAGAGGACGATTCAAACATGATTTGCTATTTCAACAGCGAAACCAAAAACGTTGTAATGCAGTCTATTTCGAATAAAACACTACTTGGTACGTTGAAACTTCCACACACACACAAAAAAGATACAAGAGAAGTCAAGTCAAAAAAAAAGAAAGCAGAGACAGAAAGATGTGGGTGGGAAAATGGACTGATTTGAACAACCGAAAAAGAGGCAAAAGAGACTATGAAATGGACAAGACCCCAAGAAAAAAAACGGCTGCTATGACAACAACGATAGTAGAATCAGACAGAAACCCTATCACATGATTCCCTTCCCTTCCCTTAGCCCTACCCTTCCTATTTTGTTTCCCTCCTTCCCCCTCCTACCAAATCCTGCCCATGCCTACCAAGCGCAAACAAGCAAAAAAAAGAACAGAACAAGAGACATAACAGTAACAGAGACGAAATAAATTCCCGAGTTTAGGGTATCACATATTGGAGATGCCCGCCGAACCACCCACCCCCCTGCACACATACTCCCCTACCCTATCCCATTTCCTTGCCCCACCCCATTCCGATTTGCCCAAAAAAACAATACAATAGACAAGATACGATAAGTATGTGAAAAACTGAGGAGTAAAAGAAAAGAAAAACAATGATAGATTCGAGTAACGAGGAAAAAGAAGAAAAGAAAACGAGGATAAGAAAAAAAAGGTCACACACAGAGATTCTGGAGCCTCCTTTCCTCGCTCTTAGCTCTCATAAGCTGAACTTCCTTTTTCTTCAAGCGCCGTTTCCTCCTCGAAAATGCCCATTCAACTCCCCTATTCGCGATAGAAAATGCACATCTGATATCTGAATAAAAAAAACTATATATAAATATATATATTGTTATATATTGCAATTTTTCTTCTTCTGTCAAGCGGCAATGGTAGGGGTGGGTGTAAGAACGCCGCCGCCCATTGTATCGTCGTCATCGTCGAATTCGTCGACAAAAGTGTTTTCGGTACCTGCGTCCAAGTCGTCTGTGTCAATGTCTGCTTCTTCACCGGTATCATTGAGCTCCTCGACTTCCTCGATGCCTTCGGCTGCGTGCACGTGCTGGGGTTCGAGTTCCACAGGCATGTGCATGACGTGAGTGTTCATACCGTTTGTATATGTGTTCGGTGGTAGATGCATCTGTGACAACTCATGTTGAAGAGCTTCAATGTTCTCGTGCAGATGCTCCGTCATCTCAACGTTGTTCTCCTCGTCGTCGGAATGATCGTATGCGGTGTAAAAGGGCGAGGGGCCAGATGCGGTGATGCTCGTAAAATGTGCTGGTTCTTCCGTCACACCAAACACTGTCGTTACGGTTATAGAGTCAGGGCTCGGGATGGGGTCAGCGTGGTACACGCCCGAGAAAAACTCGTACATGGCTCCGGCCAATTCATCGGCATGTCCACGCTCTTCCTTGTCCTTTTTCTGTTTCGCCATCGCCCGTTGTTCTGCTTCTTTCTTGGCTAGAATCTCGGCCTCCAGCCGGCACTTTGCGCGAACACTGGCTTTACGTGCGCATGTCGGGCAATGGTAGTTGACGGTACAGAATGTGCATGTGCACGACTGTGTGGATGCAGAGCATTGCTAAATCCAGTGTCAGTATTATACGATAACTTATAGAAAAGAGGGAACGAACATCACAAACAAGGACTGCGCACTCGGAGCACTCTTTGAGCATGGCAGGACATTGTGGTCTGCTGTCTCCCACCGGTCTCGGGTATTGGCAAAAGTAGGCTCCGCAGCCTTCCCATTGGACGGGATGACGTGGATTGCATGGCAATGGAAGTGGATTTGTGACTGGATGGTTGACAGGTACGCGTTGTGGGTTTTGCAGCCAAGGACTCGTAGATCGACCCCTGACACCAGAAACACTAAGGGATCGTGGGCGCGCTGAGCTGACAGGAACAAAAGACAATGAAGAAGCAAGAGGGAATGGATCGGGATTTGGCATCGAGTTGAACGAGGTTGTAGTCGACATGTCGATTGAGGAATGCTGTGGAGGAGCAACAAGGATCTGTGACTGTGACATTGGCGTCTCGGAGGATTCAGACTCGTTGTCCCCGTTGGAGTACAAGTCGATATTCGATGAAGACGCAGTAGGCGTGCGTTCAGGATCGGGTGTGCTCGCTCGGTTTGGGTTAAACTCGGGGATGACGAGGCGTTGTGGTGGCTCATTGTGTGCTCGAACATGCTCCCGCTCCGTATGCAGTTCCCGGTAGCCACACTTGCGGACCTTCAATGCTCGGAAGTCGTGTTCTTTGCAAATGGGGCTCTTGCAGGCCCGGCACGAGACTTTCCATCTAAAACTCCTGTAACAGTCATTGCACAAGCCTCTGGGGCATGTTTGCTGTTGCAGATCTAGCGAATCTTGCTTCAGGTATGAGAGTATGTCAACATCCTCGCCAAGCACATACTCATAGAGGCCATTGTTCTTTAACTCTCGAATGTAATCGACAGGTCGGAGTGAGTTGCTGAAGTCAGGATCTTCGAACTCTTTCTTGCGTGGCAAGGGCGCTGCGCGTATCTTGTCTGCTCCTCTGCCT